GCATTCTTGCCATGAGGCTAACTGCTTAAGTGATTAACTGTTTGAATGCCTATGGGTGAAGGTTGGATTGCTTGAATTGGAACAATTCATCAAAATCATGTTTTCTAAGCCCACTTGAGGGTGGCAAAATCCATGACTTAGCTTACTTGTGAGTAGCACCTCTAAACCGTTTTCGAACAAACGAACATGAAATGTTTTGTTCCAACTTAGGCAATCTAGTCTATACTTGTATGCTGTGCGCATCACATAGTAAACTAGCTAATGAATCGGAATAAGAGCACATGTGTTTTCAAAAACAACGCATCATATTTGATCGGGCGAGCGGGGGTGCTCATTGCATGACCTTCCTGTCTCGTACCTAAGTTCCCAAGCCGAGGCAACTTTGCTGATGACGGACACGTGGCCTTAGGCACGAGTCATGGTTTCTTAAATTTTCCACAAATAAAACATTTAGGTGGCGACTCTGTATTTGGCAAAGCAGTCCATGTTTCGTACTTCTTTATTAAAATTGATTTTCCAAAACGATTTGCCGGATTTGGACTCTTTGGTGATTTATCGGTCTCACATCGCACTTTGTGAGATTAGATTTAGAATCGTGACACGAGTCCGAACTGTAGTAGCTAATGGACAAACGATTCGCGCCCTCGCTCACGCAGCCGAGAGTTCTCGGGCGGTCTACACTTACGTTCACAGTAAGCATGTATCTCCAATTTTTGCCGAAGTCTGATTCAAACAAAGACTTAGCCAAGCCTTGTGACCTCGGTCTCTATGTTAATCTAACTAGACTAGACTTGGTTCAACTCTGCCGTAGTGGCAAGTCCAAATTACCCGACATGTTTCATTCGGAAACATTGCTAACGTAGTTAAACTCTATCATATGGCAAGTATAATTCAACTCTACCATATGATAAGTCTAAGTTATTTGTCATGTTTCAATCGGAAACATCGCAAACTTAGTTAAACTCTATCATATAGCAAGTATAATTCAACTTTACCATATGATAAGTCTAAGTTATTCGTCATGTTTCATTCGAAAACATCGTCATAAGACTATTCCAGTCCTATCACACAAATATCACCAACAATAAAAACCAAATCAAGCTAGTGTTTTATTAAAACATCAGCTAATATTGCATAATTCTCACAAAAATAAAAAACTAATGGTAAAAAAAATTTAGATTGCAAGTGTTCGAGGGTCGTGGCAACTCTTTGCCAACAGTGTCTTCAAGCCGATATGCTCTATTTCCGACAACCGAGATGATTCTATGAGGCCCCTCACAGTTTGGGCCAAGTTTGCCCTCCCTAGGATCCTTCTTGTTGCCAACAACTTTCCTCAAGATGAGGTCCCCAACCTTGAACTCTTTTGGGTTGACCTTCTTGTTGTAAGCCCTAGCAAGTTGCTGCCGGTATGCCTCCAGCTGAATTGCTACTCTATCCCTTTTTTCTTCCAACAGGCCTAGATCTCGGGCCAAGAATGCCTCGTTAGTTCCATTCTCCACTCCTTGGGTTTTAATTCCAGGGAAGCCGACTTCTAGTGGGATGACTACTTTAGTGGCTTAACGGAGACTCCCCAGTTGATCTTCTCGGCGTAGTCCGATATGCTCAAAAAATATTGGGCAATTCTTCCACCCACTTGCCCTTGGCTACTTCCAGCTTCCTCTTGATCCCATCCAAAATGGTCTTGTTTGATGCTTCTGCTTGACCATTACTCTAGGGAAAACTAGTAGTAAAATAATAGTTCTTAATCTTGTACTTGGCACAGAAGCTCTTAATTAGCTTACTGTCAAATTGAGTGCCATTGTTTGCTATAATGGCCTCCAGATCCCGAATTTGGTTATTATGTTCTTCCAGATGAAGTTTTTCACATTGATATCTCAAATCTTTGCAAAGGGTTCAACCTCTACTCATTTTGTAAAGTAGTCTGTGGCTACTAGTAAGAACTTTCTTTGTCCGATTTTCTGTGGTAGTGGTTCTACTAGGTCCATGCCCCACTGGGCAAACGACCAAGGGCTAGACATTGGGTTCAGATCTGTTGTTGGTTGATGTATCAAAGGTACGAACCCTTGACACTTCTCACACTTTCTGACATAGGCTTCAGCATCCTTTTGAATGTATGACCACCAGTATCCCTAGGATATAGCTCTATGGGCAAGTGACCTGCCCCCTGCATGGCTTCCACAAACTCCTTCATGTATTTCGTCGAGGAAGTCCTCAACCTGGGATGGATACACACATCTTAGAAGGGGCCCAGTGAAAGATCTTCTGTAGAGATGACCCTCTACTAACAAGCAGAACCTGACCGACTTCAATCTGGCCTTATATGCCTCTTTTCGGTTATCCGGCAGCTTGCCATCCCTTAGGATCATTACTATTACATCCATCCAGCTTGGACCCATCTTCACACACATTGCTTCGTACTCTGTGATCAGTGGTTCTACACTTGGGCCTGACAAATAATCAACCATTATTGTCCCTATCTCTCCTGATTTCATTGCACTAGCCAGGTTAGTCAAGGTATCAACATGATCATTATCATCTCGGCTAACCTGCTGTAACCAGTAATCTTGGAATAATGCTAATAGTCTAACAACCTTTTTGACATAGACTATCATTCATTCATCCCGGGCTGCATACTTGCCCGTTGCTTCATTCACAATAAACTGGGAGTCACAGAAGATTACCACCTCATCGGCTTCCATTGCTGCTGCTAACTTCAACCCTGTAATCAGTGCCTCATACTCTACTTCATTGTTTGAGGTCTTGAACCCCAAATGAATAAACTGCTCTAACATTCGCCCATCTGGTGATACTAACACTACTCTTGGCCCTACTTCTTGACGGTTTGAACTTCCATCAACAAACAGACGGAAGGAGTCACTGATGTAGATGTCGCAGGGCTTTGATTTCTCTTCTTTCTTCTGTTTTGCTGGAGTGGGGTTCTTGGGCCCCAGTTGGGTTTCTTCTTGCTCCCTTAGGCATGCCAAGCCACGGCTCACAGGAGTCCGACGCAGGATGGCACCAGGGGTGAACTCGACCACAAAGTCAGCCAAAACCTGACCTTTAATTGCTGTTCTGGGCTTAAACTCCTAGTCATATTGGCCCAACACTACTGCCCATTTGGCTACCCTGTTTATCAGATCTCCTTGCTGCAATAGGGACTTCAAAGGATGCTCAGTTAGGAAGCTCATCACCAGGGCTAGTGTCAATTTCTCCAAGGGTAGATACCTGGTTTCTACACCTGCTAAGGTCTTACTTACATAGTATATCACCTTTTGTTCTCCCTCCTCTTCTCGGATTACTACCGCGCTTATTACGTGTTCTGAAACTGCCAAATATAGCAACAATTTTTTTCTAGATATTGGATTTGACAGAACTGGAGCTCTTGTTAGGTACTTTTTCAAGTCAGCCAAGGTGACTTCGCATTCTTCTGTCCACAAAAATTCTGTGGCCTTTTTTAACAAATTAAAAAATGGTTTACATTTATCTGAACTTTGGCTGATGAACCTGTTTAGGGCTGCTACCTTGTCGGTCAAAATCTAGACCTGCTTGGCTGACGTCGGGCTCCTTAAGTCAAGAATGGCCTTAATTTGATCTTGGCTTGCCTCAATGCCCTTTTTGGTGACTAGGTATCCCAGGAACTTACCAGACCCAACTCCAAATGCACATTTCAAAGTATTGAGTTGGAGCCGATATATTCTTAGGATATCAAAAATTGCTTTCAAATCGGCCAGATGATTTCTAGGTTCTTTGGTCTTCACGACCATGTCATCAATGTACACTTCTACTATTTTTCCAATCAGATGTCTGAACATCCTGGTTACTAACCTCTGGTAGGTTGCTTCTGTATTTTTCAACCTGAAAGGCATCACTCTGTAGCAGTATAGCCTTTTTGGGGTGATGAATGCATTCTTCTCCTCATCAGAATGATACATTGCTATCTGGTGGTATCCCCTATAAGCATCTAGGAAGCTCATCCTCCGATGTCCTGAAGTGGCATCCACCAGCTGATCAATTTTGGGCAGAGGGAAGCTGTCTTTAGGACAAGCTTTATTCAGTCTACGTAGACCCTCCAATTTCCATTCTTCTTTTTCACAACTACTGTGTTGGACAGGTAGGTTGGGCAGTTCACCTCCCGAATAGCCTTGGTTTCCAACAGCTTGTCCACTTCCTCTTCTACTGTCTCCACATGAATCAACGTCGGCCTCCTTGCCCGTTGAATGGCAGGTTTAGCTGACCTGTGTACATTGAGCTTATGGCAAGTGACCTCGGGGTTAATGCCAGACATCTCGTATAGCGTCTAGGCAAACACTTCTATGTTTGCTCGCAAGAAAGCCTCCAACTCCCTCTCTTCCTCCTCCTCACCGGCTAAGCCTGAACCGAGAAGAAAGAAGCGCTCTACATCATCTTCTTTTACTAGAATCTTCTTCAAGGCTTCCTCACTCTTGTCAGCCGACTCTTTGCTTACGCCATCTAAGACCTCCATCTCATCGTCTTCAATTTCTACTATTTCTGCCTCTTGCACGTTGCAGGTGAATTTCATTGCTTCCATGGAGTAATTTTTTGCCTGCACCTGACCCTCTGACCTTCTCAATTCCATGCTCCATTGCTGGTGCAGCATTGAGGGAACAACTCTCATTACGTGTAACTACAGTTTTTCGAAGATAACATTGTAAGGGGAGTGAGTGCCAATTGCTGTAAACTCTGTGCTTACCTTCTTCGTGCCTGCCTATACCTCCAAATTTGTGGCTCCTAGAGGCCACATCGGCGTTTCGTTAAATCCAACCATCGGGTTGTTGAATTGTTCCAGATCGTCTAGATGGAGGCCAAGTTCCTTATAATATTTAATATACAGGATGTCACAAGAACTGCCTTGATCAACCAATATGCACCTTACCTGGCACTCCCCAATACTCCCTAATCTTCAGCGTTATCACCAAGGCATCATTGTGTGGATACAGCACCATATCCCGGTCTGCCTTGGTAAAAGACACCATTGGTCCCTAGTACTCATTAGTCCTAGGCTCCTTTTGTTGGACCTGATACATGTGCTGTAGGTGCTTCACTCTCTGAGTCTCCCCACGCACCTCATTCTCATTGACCTTCGAGTGAATCACATTGATCACCCGAGATCCATCTGCTAGCTGTGGTGGTAGTGGTGAAGGTGGTGCTGTCAGTGCCTGGGGCAGCCTTGTCTGCTCTTCTTTTGTTCTGGACTCATCTACTAGGTCTCTCAGATGACCCTGTCTGACCAGATCCTCTAAGTGCGTCTTCAGAGTCCTGCACCCCTGAGTCAAGTGTCCATCCTCATTATGATAGGCACAGTGCTTCCCAAGGCTTCTTCCCATAAACTCACCAAGGATCTTCTCCGGCGCTCTATAATACAACTGGTTCTTAATTCTTTCTACAACTTTGTAAACCGGGATCCGGAACACAGTGGTGATTGTCTGTGCAGCCTTCAAGCCTGTTTCTTGCTTGTTAAAACTTGTTTTACCTTGGCCTCGCTTCAGTGAGCCATTTCTCTTCTCTTGCTTTGGTGCTTTTGCTCCGTGCGTGTCTTCCTCCGCTCTTGCATATTTCTCAATTCGTGCCATGAGCTCCTTCATACTCTTTGGTAGAGTTTTTTGCGAGTGACTTTCGAAGTGGGCATTCATCCTCCAGGCCATTTTTGAAAGATATGACTGCTAGCTCCTGGTTGCATGTCGGTATTCGGTTGAACACCTTATAATACCATTTCGCATAAGCCTTGAGGCTTTCACCCTCACTAATGTTCAAAGCCAGCAGGGAGTCTACCTTTAGTGGCTTCAACTTATTTGTTACAAACTTGGCTACAAATGTATCGGCCAGGCCTTCCCAACTCTTCACAGTTCCTTTTGGCAACTTGTGGAACCAATCTGATACAATTTCCTCAAACGATGAAGGAAACATCTTGCATAACAGCTGCTCGTTCCCACTATACACAACCATTGAATTTAAATATAAGTCGACATGAAAGTTCGGTTCAGACTTACCGTCATAAACATGGAATATCGACATATGAAACCTCTTCGGGGCCTCGAACCTATCCAACTCCACCAAGAATAGCGTTCTCAGCTTGACAGTGGATGTGACCTCAGCGTTGAATCGCTTCCTCTGGAGGTAGTCTCTCAGGTCCTCCTTCGTTCGACTGAGAGCTTAGCTATCAACAGATTTTAGCCTTTTTGGTGCGCTGCTCCCGGCATCGTGGTGTGTCCTTTTGGACTTTTCTTTATTCACTATATCAAAGCAAAATCCCTTCCCCTAGACATACTGATATTTTTTGACATAGGTTCCCTTAGTATGAGGCGTCCTCTATGACTCACCTCTCATTGACTTTGCTCACCCGCCATCTCGTGAAGGCCAATGTGAACGTTCCTTCTCCTGGTCATGCTGTGGGACTACTGGGATTGTTTTTTGCCCCCCTTTCTGGGCATCGGTCTTAGCTGTTAGTATCGGCGTGTCTTACAATGGTTACAATGGTTGCATTACGTTGTTTTGCATCATGAAGTTGACAATTGATTGTAGGTCTGCCAACTTGTTTGCGACCTGTCACAACCCAAACCCGCCCCTATGGGTTTAGCATCGCAACCGGCCAGTAATCCGTGATTACCAAAGGCCTGCTTAATAGTAATGACAGTAATACAGAGTAAAGAGACTGGCGGAAGCCAAAACAGTAAATAAAATATGTCCAATGAGCTGTAACAGTCTGAATGCAAAAATACTTTTTATAAGCATGCCACATTGATAACCAAAACATATGTACATGCGACATATATACAAACATCCATGTCAAGGACTAAATCCCTACCTATAACTGTACAGTCAAGTTTTAAACATTTATTACAAAACAGAGACAAGAGGGTGAAATTGAGACACCGCAAAACAGCCTTAGCCTGAATGAACTTGGAACCTCGAAGTGAGGCGCGGTGGTTGGCTTGACAAAACAAGAGCTTAACCTGATGCTCCTAGCATCGGTCCGGTGCCTGGACACCTACATATGTATATGAACAGTGAGCTAAAGCCTAGTGAATAAGAAATGCGTAAAGGTTTAAGAATGAATGTCCTTTCATTAATTAAAACAGTCATTTAGAATTCATAACAGTTACATATGATACGTCCAATAGCAAAACAGTACAGTAGGTCTTAACAGACCGAACAGTCAGTTGATGGCCATCATAACAGTAAATAGTAGTGGTCCCAACATTGGAGCCGATAGAGATCTCTGTAACAGTAGCAGAAACAGTAACAGTAGGTTGCTATGGATGCCACGAGTACAGTTTACAAATAGGACAAACATCCATTCATTGAACAATAACATTTCAGTTAGTAGTACATTTGATCATTTAGAAAATAATCATAATTGAACATATCTTTACAATATTGTTACTCACAGAATATTGGGCTACAGGCAGCTAATGAGCGTCCTCGGATGCCAACCCTACAGTTGCAAAACGAACACACACTCAGGATTAATAACTTAGCTCCTAACTATACTGGTGTGGTTCTATAACATTATTCTCATTAAGATGCCTTAAACATGGCTAGGATGCTAGGGATGGATGAGGATGCAAAAAATGACCTTAAAAACTTGTTCAAAATTGCTGAAACAGGGGGGGTCTGCGCTCCGAGCGGTGTGCTTGTTGACCTCGAGCGACATGCAGACCAAGAGAGCTCCGCTGCGAGCGTGACTTGCCGCTCGGCTCGAGCGGACTGTAAATCTGGAAGAAAGTCTGGATGCATGATTTTTGACGCTCGACGGACGCTCGACCTGCCGCGCTGAGCAGTGAGACTTCAGGACCCCGCGTCGAGGCTCGAATTCCGGTCGCCGAGCGCATGCGCAAAATATGAACTTCTGGGGAGTATGCATTTCACGCTCGGAGCTGACTTCCCTGAGTTGAGCAAAAGCTGCATGTACTCAGAGGTACGCCTCGAGCGTGAAGTCCTCGCGTCGAGCGGTGGATCCAAATCTAGGAATTTCCAGATTGATCCCCAAGCCACAAAATATCAACTTCTAAAGCTTTAGACTTGATTCTTTGTGGCTAATTTCTGGGGAAAACACTTGAAGACTCTAGTACAACATGGTTTCAAGAAGTCTCATTTGCGATGTGAAATCAAGCCCAAAAGTAACAAGTTTGAACTGAAAATTAAGTGTAAATATGCAAAAATAATGCAAAATCAAATGCATGTTCCAAGAGCTCCAGTGTTCCATAGACAAGAGTCAAATGCAATGTGAGCTCAAATCATGGTATTCATGGACCTCTTACCAAAATATGAAACATAATGTAAGAGTTTTCATGAAAACAACTCAAAATGCAAGAATATGTACATGCGATGCCTGGAATGAGCTCATATTCGGCCTCTTCAAATTATTTTGACTTTAACCTCCAATATTTCATGAGACATGCAAGAAACAACTTAATATCACAATTGAGAGGATTGAGTTTCTCGTTACCTTATTGTTGTAATTTTAGATGTGGGAACCTCAATATATGCGAAATCCCTTCAATTCTTTTAAGTTCTCCATGCTAATTCTTGTTAAAAGAATTTTCTCCTTTACGTATCTATCGTTCTTTTCGGTTTGGCTCAAGAAGGTGAGCAAATGATGCACTCAAGACACATGTGAATCAAATTCAGGTTGAATGGCCTTAGAACAAATCGTATTAGTGGCAACATGTAATAAACCAAATAGTGTATCATAACATTATTTATTAGATTTAATCATTCCAAAGTCGAATTTTAATTAAAGTACCAATTAATCACATAAATCCTAATTAGCATATAACACTAATCGATTTCTGATTTGGTCGCCGATAAGACCTTCAATTCGCAGTTCAAAATTAAAACATGAACAGATTCATTTAGAAATCAAACAGATAGAAATGCATTCAAAACAATACACTCATACAATCGATTCAGGATATCATTCTTATCAGTTACTTCTCATGCTTAAACACAGTTTAGCACTAATCAGAGGTGAGGGTTGTCACACGACCCTTCATCTCACCGTCCCTCCTCAAGCATCTGTCATTCCATACCTGGAGATCACTTTTGTTGTAATACTCATCTCGGCCTGCTTTCTTTGGGGCATCTTCTTCTTTGCCGACGTCCTTCTCCCAAGATTTTGATCCTATGCTCCTTCATTATGGTTTTCTTCCTCAATGTTAGGATCGGCATGTTTACCACTCCCACCTGGGACGTCGTCCCCGATTTTTTTTCCGTACCCGTTGTTGGCCATCTATTCTCCTTAAGTTCCAACAGACGGCGCCAAATTGTGGGTATAGATTTCTGACCATACAACCAAAAGAGGAACTCAGTTGGAGAGCACTAGCAGAATAGATTAAGCCTAACAACCTGCACAAGAATATGAGAATTCGGTGGTAGTTCGTCCACCCGGGGGCACTCCGACGATCAAGTCAGTAATCAATATCTCTCAAAGATAGCAAATTGTGCTTAAATTCACAGGAAAGAACTTACCTCAGACTTACGAGGGTGCCTTACTTTTATAACTAGCAGTGACTTGATCCCATTAGAAGCCTCAGACTTAAACTCAATGCTTATCCTGGACCTTTATCTAGACAGAGATAAACTCTTTTTGAGCCTTATCTTTATCCAGACTGAGATTCTTCTCTATTCTAGGACTCTTGTCTTTTATCCGCTCATCTCGGATTCTAGTATCTCTACAGATAACCTCGGCTTAGCTGAGATTACCTTAGCGCATGAGCAAACCACACGACACCTCGACTGACACTTCGACGTCATCTTAGTCACGTATTGTTATTCACAAAATATGTCCCCACAGGAATAAATACACACTAAAAAAGGCTCCAACAAAAATTTCCATCATGGAGCTTTATCAATTGTTTCCATGTTAAAAAATCAAAGCTAAAAACCACAATTTTGCTATAGGCTATGTTTGGATCATGAATTTCCAACCCAAATCTATGATTCAAACATAAAGTTTCAGAAATTGTCCACCACTAACATAATTGCCAAAATTGTTAAGAATTGTGGATACGAGGAACTACGGCTACTAAGAAAGTTAAAAGCATTCCGTTTATGGATAAAACATGGGTTTGATAGGGAAAATAAAAATAATAATTTCAAGAATAATTAAGATTTTCACAAGTAGCATTGTCACCCAAATACAATTTAAAGACATATATCTATATCGGGTTTACAACAAATCACAACATGAGCACAATCTCAAATAAATAAATAAAAACTAGATGAAATTAACCAAAACCCATCAAAGATTGGTGTATGGATACCTGTGAGATGCCCAGCAAGAATAACACAGATTTGAACTTGCAGAGAACTAAAAATTTGATGGGTTGTGATAAGAAAATTCATGGAGGATTTGGGAATTCTAATAATGGTGAGTAGAAAGTTAGTCAACTGTGCGTGTGTCCCCTTAATAAAGAAACAGGTGTTAGTGAGATACCATTCCCGCACCTTGCCTCTCTGTCTCCATCTTTCGTTCTAGGAGGTTCTATTTAAGGACAAACATTAGCACCTTTCACACTCTCAAATCTTTAGGATATGTTTGGTTTGTGTTTGAGAGATGTGTTTTAGAAATAAAAAGTACGAA